CAGACAACATACGCACACGTATAAATAAGCTGCGGCCTTAAAGTTTCGTGACACTTACTTTTCGAGTTCAAGCGCTGCGGCCTTACGTTTCTCATACATCTTATCGGTCAGCTGTCTCAACATACTGGATGGAATTGGGACGAGCAGCGGTTCAGCCATTGTCAAAAGGTATCCCAAAAACGAAACGATGTGTCCTATATTTAGATTAACATTGTCTGTGGTCAAGCGTCTGGAAGATATCGTTCTACTGGCGAACTGTGAACAGGAAGCAATGCACAAAAAGGGGAAATCTTGCAAAAGCTTTCTTGTAAAACAAAAACACACCATCCACAAAACTGGAACACAAATATGAAAAACTAACAGCTAAGCTAAAACATTAAGAACACTGATACGATATAGATATACTGAAAAAGTTCAAGTCGCAATACATAAAAAATATGCAACATTTTCTTTATCAGTGAAAGTACTACCGACAAGGCGAAGTCGAATAATAATCGCACGGTTTGGACGGCAGTAAAAATTCAGCCATGACTGCGCCAAATAAATAATTTAAATTCGTATGACGTGAATATTACTCTAGAGAATAAAATGCGCCATATCGTTCCTATCAACCATCATCCTTCGGCGGCGTATACCAACCTGAAAAAAGTCGACGTTGGAATACTAATCTATAATCAACCGAACAAAAGAAGCCGCACAAATTTTTTCATGAATCTATATCAACGACTTGAAAAATTGCTGAGCTTTAAGCAAACTATTTTGCTGTTGTGGCTAAAACATACTGCTCAACTTTGTTGTTCTCATAAAAATTTGATCAAAAGGCACACCAATAAAAGTGAAAGTGGTCATGTTAAGAAAATAGAAACGAGACGTTTACCATGAATATAGCAAGAGAACAAGGCTTATATTTATTTCTGTTGCGGCAAGTCGAACGTCTTTTACTTGAACAAACAATTCACTAAATATTAAAAAACTAGACTCTTTCAACAAAAAATGATGCTGTTTGACAGTGCTTGAAACTAATTTCAATGAATCGATCTCGCCACATAACGAAATATTTTTCAATTCATCACAGTTTAACTTTGAAAACAAAACGGATATGAATAATCGTTTCGAAATCCGTCCGCATGATGATGCAGGATTTTGCAGCCCTGTGTCTGCATGCACATTCTGCTAAATGTTTCATGTTCGATCGCAAATATTATGACTTCCAATCCTTTCAGTTCTTTAAGCACTCCGCAGGTTAGAACAACACTGCTTTTTACAACGTGAAGTACATCAGTCTATCACCACCTCTGCAGTTCGTATAGTCGAAGAGGATAACTTTTCAGGTGACTGCATTCCACAGATTCCTAGGTTTTCGTCGTAGTTACTCTTTGGCAACATGCAGCTGTTCGAATCAACACTGCCATATATGGATACAAACAATAAATGTTTGGTCACGTTCAAGTCTACCTGTTCAGTTTTTGCACTGCGTAAGCTAAGAGACCCGCTGTCTGTCTCAGAATAGAAATGACACGTTTCTTAATAGTTAAGATTTCGCCATACAGGGTGTACAGCTGCTACATAAATTTTTTTAAGGCAAAGACTTATTTGCTGTGTCAACACGGGATACCGACAAGGCTGTTCATCCACCAGTTTTCTCATCCGTAACACAGCTAAATTAATGCGCTTGAGACATCATTCATACAGCAATTGTCAGCGTCAGTGCAACGCGTGTCGCACGTTCAAATTCATTAACAGCATCCTTGAACAAGTTTCTCACAATCTCCAGTAGACTTCTCAGTCTGCTGAATAACTTAACATACAGTTTGGAGTCATGTGTACATAGAAAATAAACATGGCACCAAACGTGTTTAAGTTCTTTCTTAAGGCTAGATAATGAACAGAAGAAAGTTTGTGCTAAGTAGCCAACATGGTTAAAGTCTACTTCTGGAGTTCACTATTCGTTGACGCCAACCATGTTAAAGAGTTATCATGTTCGACTGCAAATGCTATTCGGAAATGTTGCATAGTATCTTCACATCTCTGTTAAGTAAGGCCTGGTCTTGTATATTTTCCAGAATTCCCAAAGCGAGCTATAATGCACAGTCAAACGCTCTATGTTATGCTATGTAACTTAAGATTATTTCTACTACTGCATCTGGCACTGATCCACCTCAACGCACTTAGAGTTTTAAAATGTTCCCAATATTTTCATTTGCCCTACTGCAAGTCTCAGTCAAAAAATATCAAGTCATTTCGATTCAACAAATAAGGTGTAACAACCATGATACGAATTTTAAAAACACGTCAGCAACGAGACTAAATGCACACATACGCTGGATACGTGTGATTCAAATAGGACCCGCACGTTGCCTCTAACGAGAGTTGCTGCAATCTGCAATATGACTGCGTTGATGTCATAAACGCTCTCCAACCTTAAAATTTGTATGACAGCAATTCAAGTTTCGTGATAAACGTTTCAGAGCCCAGACAGTCTGTCAATTGACATTCAGAACTTATCCGTTTCACATAGCGCTGCGCTGAACAGCTTACTTGACTCACCTTACAACGCGATAAAGCCTTAACATAATTGAATACTTATCGTGGATTTCATAACCTAAGCGAAAAGGAATAAAACTGTCAAACAAAGCAGCTCTGCTGTAGAGATTACACATTGTCTAACTGGAAGAACACAATCAGTTCTGCATGAATTTGGGGAAAAAACTTGTCCTGGTTGCATTTTTCTACGGATACTTTATAGATGATTATGCTGCAACAGAGATATACCACAAACAACTGAAATCCGTAGAAATGCGAATGCTTAGATGAATGTGTGAAGTCAGCAGAAGACCCACATCAGGAATCCCTTCAAAATGAGAACTTTAAGCCTAGTTCCAAATAGAGAACATCTTACAGAAAACAGGCTCCAAATGAAAAGAATACACCGGAAATATAGCCCAAGCACTGACACTGTCATGGAAGAAACGAAAAACTCGAGAAAAAAATGTAACGCGATGTCGACGAACGATATGAATCAAATAATGACCGAAGATCTCAGCAAAGACCAAAAAATGTGGAGTCACTGACTCTAACAGCGGATCCTTGTTAAAGGGAGCACATTTGGAAAAAGAAGACTATGCTGCAACAGGGATAGTAGAATAATTCCATGTACATTTTTATCTGCATTCAAAACTAATGGAATCAATGTAAAAAAAACATATTCTCTGGCATCTCAGGATTGCCTTTATCACTGAAAATAAAGCTAGTTCAGTATAAATACTGAATACAGTAATTTACATAATCAATAAAAAAACGTGAATTGCAACGACTTATAACAAAAACGAACGATATTGGAAAACTGGTTAACTGAACGATACCGCGGTAAAAATCAAGGTAGAAGAGATAACGAGTAAAGCAGAAGTATAAACCATATCTTTTTGGTAAGGAGTTAGATACAAATTGCACCGCCGCCGAGTGCGAAGCCCTTTGATATGCAAGAACTAACGATGTGTACAAACGGAGGGTCAAACGCATAGTCATCCTGAAAAATATAAAATAACGCAAGCCATTAAGGGCATCGCTAACACCGTGAACATGAACTGCAAACCATAATCAGGTAGGTCTATGACATATGCAGTATGATATGTTTTGAGAGCGAGTAGGTCATGGACAAGCTGGCTATCCAGGTCGACCCCGTAAAAAACATGTAGGCGGTAATAAACTAAAAGATACTGTACCTTTTCAATTTAACATTTCATTCATACAGGCTATTGCTAATGAGTTCAAATTGGTACACGCCATAAATGTTAATTTGCATAACAGCCAGCTGGCAAGGAGCGAATACCGATTATAACTGAATTTGTCTTACAGGTTCGCCTAGAGGAAGAATAAGTATTAAAGGGTTGTATTATATTCAAATAAACTCTTCTATCGCAGAGCTGAGCGCAAGTCTGGACAGTTTTAAACTTGGATAGTCATAACAGGAACACGTGGCATACATGCCGTTCTCACTATTTTTAGCGTCGTCATCCAGTCGTCTTTCTGAACATAAAACGATATAGCCATTTGTTACAAAATAGGATCAAAAAAGCTGTGCCCTAACATACTGTAACAGCTGGCAATAGCCTATTAACATATTTCACTCTATGTCCGTATCTTGCTGTAAAATCATAAACGTTTATAAGTATTCTTCGCTCATTTCAGTGACACTAGTAATTCAAAAACATAAGTGGCAGGAACAACACTTCAGACAGAAACGTCTATAAAGGCCTATGAACCTCATTAAATTAATGTAATTAAGAATTATTTGAATTACTTAGTGCCTAAAGAGTTATTCTGTAAAATATCTGTGGAAATTATGCTGATTAGAAAGGCAGAGCCGAAACAAATTACAAGTACACCAAACCCCAGGAAACGATAAAAAGATATGCGTTGGTACGTGGCTGCCACTCTCAATAATTTGAAAGCCTCGGTGAGGGGAGTAATAATGATGGTTGGCTTATGATTGTGAAGTACCTTCCTTGAAATTGTTGGAGCGGTAGATGTCTCTAAGTTCTTTCATTATGTGGTCCGTTGCGGAGACTGTGCCACCGATACTGCCTTGCAGATGCCATTCGCGCCGTGACTTCACCAATCGCTCCGAAACTGCCATTCCATCAACTGCTAGTTTGCCCTTTTCCAGATGACTCGATTTTCTGCAGATTACAAACAGGACATAAGGAAGCTATCACATGCTAATGACAAAGTTGAAACTGCATACGGGGTATCGTCTTCCATTTCGCAGTCTTATTCCGCGCTGTCCTGGTCACTTAGCTGGCATTCTGTTTTCTAAAAATTGGACTGAACGCAAATCAGGTACTACAAATTCATTTCGAATTGCAAGAAAAAAAGCGTGAAACTTAAGACACCAAACTATTTGCGAAAGTAGTGTCCTACATTAATACAACATCTCGTCGAAATATTAAAATGCATGCATTTTCAAAAAGCAGAATCGTTTATTTAAAGGAATTAGCCTCTGATATATCCTATGAATAGTGACTTATAATGCCGGTAAGCTTCGCATCAAAAATGAGCAAAGTATCTCACTTATGACAGCAACAAAAAGTAACAGCTTCAGTACTATGGCACAAAAAGAATATCAGGTAAGTTTGCTCGGAGTTGACATAACGCATGAA